CACCCAACGGGAACCCGTCGACTAGGATCTGTCGCGCGCGGATGCCCTCGCGATCCGCAACGCTCAGTTGCGCGGCCCTCACGGTGCCAGGGAGGGTGGTGCGCACGGCGTCCGCATACAAGAGAGGGGTAGAGTATGGTAACGACTCACCGGGTGCCTTGCCAGAGCGATCCCCATCGCGGATATTGTCTACTGCTGCAATTATCCGCTCCTTCAGCGACTCCTCAGTCCCGGCTAGCTTGCTCGTGAGTTCCGTGATGTGATCTCCTGCGGCGGCTACTCGTTCTTCCAGGCCACTGATTAAGGTGGTAGCCTGTGCCTCGAGACGGGTGAGTAAAGCGTCTGTTAAGGATTCACTCACCGCGCCCTCTATAACTGTCTTTGCGTATACCGCCAGCCCAATGCAGCATTCCGCCGCCCGCTCGTTCTTGCCCACTAGGGCTACTCCCACGTGCAGAAGCCCGGTAATTAGTCCTTCAGCCGTAGGGGCTCCTGCTGCGGGTACCATCTCATGCCTGCGCAACACACTCAGAGCGTCTTCTATCGTCTTGATCTTCCCATACGCTGCCGTAAATGTGTCTTCAGTTGGGGGCCGCATCTGCCTTGCGGGCGGTGCGCCCGCCGGTACTGGCGCCGACGTCTTCTTCGACCGTGAGGTAACTTGTGGCGATGCTGTTCCTCCTCGTCTGACAGGTTCCAGCGGCATTCTGCTATTAGTATGTGTATAGCGTTCGATATGAACTAGTGCGTCGCCCAGAGAGAGAACTGACCGCACGGCGTAGCCCGCTCCTATTGGCTGACGACCGTGGGAAAGTTGTCGCTGGTGGTGGTACGAGTTAAAGGAGCTCGAGGGATGCCTTGACATCGGCGGGTATCAGAGATCGCGACTCGTACACCTTATGGATCGCCGTCGCCTACATACAGCTAAATTCAGCTAGAATCGAGGACTTGAATGGAGTATACGCCCACAAAGATATCAGTTTCGTCGTCGTACTGGCTCGCGCCATATCGCAGTTCATCAAGGAGGTAGTTGAGCTGGACGTCGGTGATCTTGTCCCGGGGCCACTGTTTTTCGCCATCGCCCCTCTTCCAGTACTCGTTGCCACCCCAGAATCGTTCGACCATGACTGCGTCATGCTCGATCATCTCCTTGCGCGACTATGTTACGATCTCGTCGTCGTAGACTTTCTTCCACCAGTCGGGCTTGGCGCGTATCTTCCTTGAGAACCCTCGCATGCGAAGCTATCGAAAGGAGACGTGAGATTTGGGACATAGCTCGTAGGGAAGATCTGCAACTGCAAATATGCGGATGTCGTACTTATGAGTAGAGGCTAATAAGGCGGTGCTCACTGGCGGGTTGGACTAGACGAGTCGGTCCGACTCCGACGGGCGCTCACTTCAGGCACAGTTGTCAGGCGTTTTCTTCAAGTTCCTGGATGGCTGAGATCCGACTACTGCTCGACGCCGCGAAGCTGATGTGTTGCTCGCTCTCATTTTGATGAGCTTACTGCAGTTTATTTCGCCACCACAGGCTTTCTTCACATCAGCGTCGTGAACAGGACATGCACGGTGGATACGCAAAAAGGCGATACTTGTGTCAACGAGTCGCTCGCAATCGCACTCTATTCTCTAACATGATGTGATTCTGCAGACAACACAATGATTCGCCGTGTGCGAGGGTACTTTACTCTACACGAAAAAACCATAGATTGTGTCACCCCCAGCCTTCTCAGGCCCTTAGATGAACGAAGACGCGCGATTGCCTGAGGCCAGCCTCACCGTCCAGCCTTCGAATCGATCAATCAAGATCAAGGTCATTCCGAGTCCAGAGAAAGTAACGAGTAAGCAGTGTTCGAATCAAGATGGATTGGATCTGCTATGGTCGCTATATGATGTACATTGCATGAATCCGAAGTGTGTCTCCATGGCTGATAAGCCGTGGCCCGTCATCGAATGAGCCCCATCCCCTTCACGGCGTCGTAGGACGTTCTGCGAACATTGGTTAATCTCAGAGGACATGAGCGACGTGCCCGGTCGAGCTACTGACCTCCCATCCACGCCAATATGCCACTTCTTTCTCCCTAGAGCAGACGTCACCAGTCTGACATCTGGGTCAGGCAATTTGAGGACGACATTCTCTGGATATAAATCAAGGAATTCTGCGAGCAAGCAGAATAGTGCAAAGACGGGCCGATCGCTGTATTTGTACTCTCGAGACATGTATAGCGTTTGGCCTTTCCTGATGAAGAAGTAGGTTCTTGTGTGACAGGTCAGGATTGCACACGCAGCCTTCGTCTCAATTAATTGAGACCAGACCTAGTTTAGTACGTCGCAGTCAGATATGAATGAAGAACCTTCCAGGAAAGTCTCACCTGAACAATGAATTTGTTCATTTTGCCTGATAGCTTGTCATTTTCACCAGGCTAGCCAAACGCGCAGGTGTGAGATGCATCGCTTGACTTGACCATTTGCGTTGCGGTGAGAAGATCAAAAACCTGAGCGTTCAAGGCGTTCTGTGACTTGACCTCGATAGTACAGAACACTCCAGGGACCAGTACATCCTCATCCTCGGTACTTGCTTCATGAATATCCCGTCTGGAATGATGTCTGCGTGTGGATAGCTGGATAGAGCAGGACACTCAGGGTCCTTTTCGGGATCGAACAAAGGCAACGCGAATGGTTTCTTCTGTTCTCTAACCCTAGAAATGAGACAAAGTAACAGGAGGGCCGGTTGAAATATAGTTTGCTGGCACCATGTCACAACGTCATTTTCTGAGCGAACAGTTTTGGGCAGGCCATAGCGTAGGTTCTCGGGAAAACAGTGTCCCAAGGCCAAAGCCTGATCCAGGCTTCTTGCGTCCACGCCTATTTTCTGTAACATGGCCTTTCCTTCCGCCTCAAAGCTGTCCAAGAGAGCTGGGAAATAAACCAGATACTTCAGGTGCTGGTCTCCTCTCAACCGAATGTCACGTTCTGCCTGTGTAGTCTCCTTTGTGCCTCGAATATGAGCCCTGGAGTAGACGTCGGGGAGTTCACAAGGAAAGGTGCGCGTAAGGTCATATGCCGTAGTAATCTCTGTATCCCAATCCGCCATTTTGAGCGTGTGTTTGCATGATTATCTTGGGAACATCCGACGAACCTTGAAATTGAGTTGCGTAGAAGAAGGAATTGTCATCCACAGATGTAGGTCTATAATACGGAACAAGAGTAGATGCCCGAGTCCTATGAGGCTTTTCTTGAGAACCAGGTGTGATTGGCCCCTGATCTGTGATTCCAGTCAATAATGTGATGGAGGTCGAAGGTACAAGTTTCGTATAGAACTCCCCTGTCATGCTTGCCACCTTGCTTTGTATTTGTATGTGTGTTGAAACCGAATCTGTGCAAGGGATAACAATATTGCCATCTGATATAGCCATCACAGCGAGTTATAATGAAGTCACCTGTCGGGCCTTGAGAGATTGTGGCGCTAGTTGAAGAGTCTTTGTTGGCCGTGGATGTCGCGTTGATTTACTGGGTGCAGAGAGCCCGAGGACTTGTGTAACTCCGTAGCAAGGCGACTTCTGTTATCGGACCGCAGCTCTTGTGAGGTGTGTGCAGATGTGTAGGCTGGGTGTAGAGCTTCGGTGTTGTAGGCTTGCTCCGTCTACACAGACGAGTTTTATACATACTGTGGGGTGATGCTTGTGGCGTCAAATTGTGAGGCATACTGAGGCGCATGACATTATGACGAATGAATTGAGGGTTGGAATGAATCCCACCCAAGGCCGGTGAGGCGTGCACAATTGTAGCACAGTCAGATGCGCCTCAAACACTTGCCAACTGACACATGATCAATGTCACTATGGGGCGAGAAGTGAGACTTACAAACCTCCCTGTTGTTATGTGGATGATAGCAACCTATTGTATCCATCATTCCAGAGAATCATATTGGCTTCGCGTCTTAGGGTCGTCCAACAGTTATGGAGTATGTTCATACTAAACATGCGGATTATGATGCTGTCATTGTAACATCTAACATGAAGGAAAGCCTGATGTTTGTCTACTACTCCGGGTTTGCCACAGAGGTCCTTCGATCTCTGCTTACGTAAAACACTTGAGCGCAATTCATTGTGAATCGTGTGGATCGGTGTTGTTCCTCGGATGCATATGGAGGCATACATACCCGGTATCCAGGTACCGGCACATCTGACATCTTGAAGGTTGATGTGCTGTATACTGTTCAATTTGTAGCATTGTGAGTGTTGCAGAAAACGTGTCGATTCTTGTCAGCCGCTCATTTCGCCGCGCGCTTGAGGGGCCAGGGTACGTATGGGCTGGGGAGCGCTCATAGTGGTACGTCCTGCTCACTCGCTCGGATACTGCCAGTGAGCCAGTGGAGAGCTCCAGTGTTATCATACAAACTTAGAGAGAATCAGGGGGATGGTGCTCAAAATGTGGTCTTTCGGTCGTGGTTTTTAGCAGCCACGTATAGGCGCCCTCAAGCGCGCAGCGAAATGAGCGGCCGACAAGCTGCCCGCCCCACTTTGAGCGCCAATCACACTCGAACCGTACATATACCTTGGACGTCCTGTTCTACTCCAGCATATCACTTCCCTCTCCTCTCACATAGCGCGAATCAACTCGTCAAGTCACAATGGAATTACCGACCTCGAATAGCAAGATAGGCCCTTGTACAGGTCCCTATCATACACTCGTACCTTGTCACCAGGCCATTGTTGGGACGCTCAGGATCACTCAGCTCACAGAAATCCTCCGTGCTAAAAGTGTGCGCGGCATCGAGGTCTTCCGGGCAGTTGTGAGCATCGCTCAACATGAAGACGACGAAGTCAAGGAACTCGACGTGGTTTGCAAGGTTGGCTGGGGTACAATGGGAGCTGCGGAGGTTCAGCGAGAGGCCAATCTCTATCAAGATAGACTGCGGAAGCTACAGGGAACAGTTGTTCCCCGTGTCCATGGGTGTTATGTAGCGAACGACAGGATAACAGTGCTGGTTATGGAGTACTGTGGCCGAGCTCTGTCCCAGTGTACCAGGTCGTTCTCCCAAACGCCGTTAGAGTTCAGGTGCATATCCCACTGACTTCGTTCGTATGTCACCACTGATAATGTTTGAGATAGGAAATTAACGGTGAATGGTCTCCTTGCCATACATAGGGCTGGGATCCTCCATGGCGACTTCCGTGAGGAGAACATAGTCGTCCGTGAGGTCCAGAAGGGCAAGTTGGAAGGTGCCGAGTACTTCCCCGTTATCGTTGATTTCGGAGAGGCGATGGAGCATACCTGCGCGTTGAGAGGGGATTATGAGATCAAGACCAATTGTCCCGCACCTGGATCTACAAGCGGACTACTTCAATGCCTAGAAATACATGATGCCTGTGGCGAAGCTCGGTTCTACTACCCATACGGTATGTTTTCCTAGCGATGCTTTCACAGACATGAGCCCCACTCATCTGAGCCGCCATCTGTAGCCAGCGTTGAATTATGGAGATGCGAAGTTGCGATTGATACCGAGACGACGGTGGAGGAGGTGTACATGGCCCTGGCCGAGAGGGGGGTGGTTCCGGAGGGCATGGACAAAGAGAGAGCACGGAGAACCATAAGAGAGACATGTCAATGGTCGCAATTCAATAAGTGGCGGGATGAAAGGAACGAATTCGACAATATGCCTCTCACCCGGGACAACTGGGAGAAATCGAAACGCCGTCTTGAGGGACCGGTGTGAAGCCCTCCCCAGTAATACTGCTGTATACGCTGTTCTCTTGATCGCATTTTGCTAAGAGGCGATATGTACATGCATCTTACTTTTTGCACCATGTCGGTCCTGATGCTGCCACATAATCAATTCAACCTCGAACACCTGTTTGTAATGCTTCGCGTACCGCAACTGCTTTTGCATCAGTTTGTCCCGATACCTGTCCGGCTGCTTGCACGACACTGACCCTATGGACGCGTGTCTCAAGATGGCATGATATGATCCTTGGGGAGCTGTTAGCTTTGGCGCCTTCGCTACTTCATCCTGTGCTCCTGCCGCTGGGGGACGTCGCTCGTCGAAAGGATCCGCGCGAGGGGTCCGACGACGACGAAGCACAGAATGTTTCGCAACCTGGGCTTAGTAGGGTCCGTGAATTCGAAGCCGTCAGTATACGTTTGGGAACGTAATGCACTTGTCCACCTCGGGAACTAGGTGCGCAAGGTCCTGATTTAGTGGGCTGTCGCGCTGCAGTACGAACGTGATGCGGTAGCCTTGCTCGTCATTCTGCCCGTACTAGGGAGAAATGCCGTTGTCCGCGGAACACGCGCGGCTGCTTATGCTTATGCATGACTGAGCCCTGAGGCCTAGGTCCTGTGCGCTGCGGCAGACCTCGCCATTGAACGCATTCAAACTTTTGCAATTGTCGACGTAGCGCACCTGCATTACACATCGGAACGAACTATACTAGAGCCACATACACCGCACAAAGGCGTCCCAGCTCGCGATCAAGCAACGGTGGAGAACTTGTACTCGGCGCGCCAGTGATACGGCCGGTGCTTGTCGTAGATCTGGTTCCGCCCCCAATGCGGGTTGTTGATCCCGTCGATGTAGTCCTCCATCTCGACGACGACGCACGAGTGGTTGTCGTAGAACTTGCCCGGGTTCGTCGTCCCATCACCTCCATGAGCGCGCTTGCGCGGTAGGCTCTTCCCCGCGCTGGAGATCCCGTCGCACGTGTAAACCTGGATCGCGACCTGGTCCGTCGTTACGGACAGCTTGATGCCGGATGCGGGCGAGGTGAGCTCGAAGACTGGCTCGTCGCGCTTGTGCTTGGACATGACGAAGCACGAGTCCCACCCCTGGCATGTCGCGCCGCAGACGCCGACGGTCTCGTTGAACCGCTCGCTGAAGGGGCGCGGGGTCTGGAAGTCGAAGGGGGTATCCTTGACAGAGGCGATCTCGCCCGTGGGGATGAGGAACTGGTCGGTCTTGATGTACTTGTCCGCGCGCGGCATGTACACGATGTGGTCGAGGACGGTGTCTGAGCCGTTATACGCCGCGAGGTTCCAGTAAGTGTGGGAGGAAAGCATGATGGGCGACTTCTTGTTGTCAGTCACGTACGAGTCCATCTCGATGCGCCAAGTGGCATTGTTCTCGAGGATGTATGTCGCGCTCGAGACGACAGAGCCAGGGAAACCCTGGTTACCGTCCGCATCATGGAGGGTGAACGTGACGGATGAGCTAGTTAGGTTCGTGATCTGGTAGGCGGAGCGGTCGTAGCCGACGGTACCGCCGTGGAGCGTGTCGTGATTGTTTTCGTTGAGAGGCGTGTGGTAGATCTTGCCATCAATGGTGAACGTGCCGTTCTTGATACGGTTAGCGTAGCGTCCGACCTGAGGACCGAAGTTGGGGTGGACGACGTCAGTGCCATAGTTCGTCTTGTTATCAAAGCCTACATGATAGTAGACGACGTTAGGACTTCCCTCGCACTCGAATTGAACATGTTCACTGACCAAGGACGATGTCACGGAATACGCCATCCCTATCTTTCACCCATAACTCCGAGACGGAAGCACCGTATGGGAGGAACGTCGCACGGATAGAATCGTCAGGCGAGCGCAGGTTGATGGAATTGAACGGGTAGGTAGGTTGGAGTGCCTCGGGGCAACTCGCCAGGGTAGTGCCAGTAAGGGTACCACCGAAGGTGATAGCATCATTGGTGGAGTTATCCGCGAGCACAATTTGGTTGGTGGCAGCGGTCGCATCGGAAATAGCGCATGCGTACGCGCCTACGGTACCATTGTTCACGAAACCGGGCGTCTGCAAGGGGTTGGTCGCGGACGAGGATGAGACCGCGAAAGTAGACGTGCCAGTGGTGGTCGACGCGTCCAGAGTTGACGACTCCGAAACAGCAGTCGTGGTCGACACCGCGACGGTACTGCTGTCAACGACAGTAGTGGTGTTTTGAGCGGTTGCGCTCCACGTCAAAAGGGCGAACGTCACGTAGGACAGCAGGGAGTGCATCGTCGCAGAGACCAGGTCCACGCAAGCACGAGGCAAGGACGATGAGGCCGCGAAACGAGGGGAACGCGGAGACGGTCGAAATTCCTGCCGACATCATGAGCTTAAAGAGAAGTTCACTGACAGTCCCCCGCATGCGTCAGTGGGGCGAAGCGAGGTGCGCAGATGTCCGCTGACCGTGCTGCTGTGCTCTTTGTGCGCGCCTCGCACGTCTCGCATCTACAGAGGGGGTCAGGTGGCCGCGTCATCAATCTGATGATGGGATGAGGGCTACTCAAAAATCTCGCGAATTGATGGTCCCTTCCCTCCGGTCTCGTCAATGCTCACGTTGGTGCACGCTTGACCTGAACACGAGACTGACTGGAGGATTAAGTGTTAACGGCATTAATGGCCGCATCAGCATCCGTGATGATATATCTATATCTTCGAACCAAAGTATGTATACAGTACGACTTCTGGCGGATTTATGATTTGTTCTGCTTACGGATACGTTAGAGCTAGTTGAGATTTCTGCCCAGGCTATAAGATTTGTGCAGACGACAGCTAGATGACGACGGAGAAATGAGGGCACCGATGGCACTTTTATGGCTCGTCGCATACGAGGCATCACGGACGGCACATGATGCAGGGACACGACACTAATGGCGAGCACCCGTTGCGCCGTTAGGTGGTATCGCCGTCATGATGTGTGTTTTGCGCCGAAGCCTATACCAGAGAAGCTGACGAAAGGCTGCATGAACCAGGGCCCTCACCAATGACAGTCTCAAGGACGCACTGTATGACTTACTTACTTGGGGTTGACAGGCACGGTCTCTTCGAGCGACGACGGTGACTATCAGGAACCACCTGAGTGGTGAAGAGTGTTGTAAACAGAGAATGCGGTCTCGGGGACCTACCGAGCCGCTCCCCTTAGTCTACATGACAAGCATCGATCGTGATTCCTCGGAGCTGGTAGCCTGGCTGCCAGGAAGAGTATTGATGATGCCTAAGGGCGCATGCCAACCACCTCGGCTTACGGCGGTCTAAAGTTTGAGGATGCCTCGCCCTTGGACTAAGGATTTTGCAGCAACAAAACTTACCACATTACCATCGCAATTGTGGATCATGGAGTAACTCTCGCAGGTCCCACTCCTGAATTTCCGGTACTAAGAGAGGTTCAAAATGGTCGTCAATTACATCGTCCAACGGAAGTAGCTGCCGATCAGGAAACCTCATGCACTCCATTCAGCCACATGAAACTCCGGGAGTTCGAGGCTGCTCACCTATACCAACCCCTCCCATGATTCTCTTCCCCACTGGCGATCCAGGGGCGCCAGCTCGAGACATTCTGAGCGCATATATTCCGACGCCAGCCAGTGCTCCAGTCCCGATGATTCGACAAGTCAAGCAGTCTTGAAACTCTGTCTGCGCCAATGCCTGCTCGGTCCGAGCGTCCTCGTTGGAGAGCTTGACGATACTACCGGACTGATCAAGAGATTCAGACGAGGACATGAATTCGCGAGTGGGTGGTGGAAGCGGAGTATGCGCAGAAGCGCCAATAACGTCGCCTTGCATAGCCCTGGGGGCCGTCCTCGGCAGTCAGCGACGCGAATGCTCCTTTCTCATCGCATGACCTCGTCTCAAACATAGCTTCGGTACCCCCGTCGGAGCACCGTTGCCGACGACAAAGTCCATGAGCTTCACTTCTAACGTGCACTGAGACTTGGACACGACGCCTGGGACGACCATGATTGCCAAACACGCCGCCCGCCTTCTGCTCAGGACTCGACCTACTTGCGCAGCCCGCACGTACGCGACGCAGGCCCGTGAATGCGTCCGGATCGTCGAAGTTGGACCCCGCGACGGTCTGCAAAACGAGTCGGCGGTCATTCCGCCCGCGGTGAAAGTAGAGCTTGTGAATCGACTTACGGAGGCTGGTACAGAGATCATCGAGGCTGGCAGCTTCGTCAGCCCGAAGTGGGTGCCCCAGGTGAGTTGCGGCCCCATCTCGCGGCATTCACAGAGCCTTCGGATTGCACTATGTGGGACAATAGTTGATACAAGTCCAATGCTGAGAGCTTCCAAGAACAGCTGTCCGAAGACCTGACATGTTCTCTCAGTTCCTTGCGCGCGAGGAGACGAGCCGTACTACATGAGGCTATCTCGCCTAGTTGCCCGCAAGCAGAGCGAGCCCTTCGTTGACCATATTGTGTGCTCACATAGTGCCTGACTTAACTCACGCAATCATAGATGGCAGGAACCGCAGAGGTCATCAAGCACATGCAACGGCGGGAAGGACTGCATTACCCCGTTCTCGTTCCCAATCTCAAAGGCCTCGAAATCCTACTAGACCTCCTCGCCCAGCAGCCCAAAGGCGAAGTCCCATACACCGACGAAATAGCAATTTTCACAGCCGCCACAGACGCATTCTGCAAGGCGAACACAAATTGCACAATCAAGGAGTCGCTCGAACGCCTGACGGCCGTCACGGCACGCGCGGCAAAGGAGGGACTTCGCGTCAGAGGGTGAGCCGTAGGAGCTATCTCCCGCTACGAGAGTCGTTGACAAACATGACAGGTATGTGAGCGTGGTGATTGACTGCCCGTACTCGGGTAAGGTCGATCCCGTCATAGTCCGCGATGTTACCAAAGCCCTCCTCGAGATGGGCTGTTACGAAGTCAGCTTAGGCGACACCGTAGGGACGGGCAACCCTACGACAGTCGGGAAGATGCTCGAGACTGTCATCGGCGGCAGTAGCGACATCTCGCCGTCCGTGCTCGCTGTAAGCCCATCTTTTCCTGCGCCTGTCTCTCGATGAGTACCGAAGAGCACATGTTTTACGTAGGGCCACTATCACGACACGTTCGGAATGGGCGTATCCAACATCCTCACCTCGCTCGACTACGGCCTCCGCACCTTCGATTCCTCCGTCGGCGGCCTTGGCGGCTGCCCCTATTCCCCGGGTGCGACGGGCAACGTCGCGACTGAGGACGTTCTGTACGCACTCCAGGGTAGCCGGTTCCACGCGCCAGGGGACCTCGCGAAGATCGCGGAGGTCGGCTCGTGGATCTCGAAGCAGCTGAATAGGACGAACGCGAGCCGCGTCGGGAAGGCGCTCGAGGCGCGGCGGGAGAGGGAGAGAGTGGAGAAGGAGCGCGAGCGGGATGGAGGCTCAGCAGAGAGTGTTTCTGCAAAGCTTTGAGCAGGGGGGGCGTTCTATTGTGTTGTCTTGGTTTGCCATGCTGCGTTTGATCAAATTTGGGCATTGCGGTAATTTGCACACTGTACGCGAGTGAAGAACAGCTAAATGCATGCTTGGCATAGCAGAACCATACACGGAGAGAAGGTCCGATACGTGTAACGCATGTGTGCTGCAGCCGTTGTAAGCCCTACTTTCACCTCCGCTCACCCTTCTCAGTTCCTTCGTACACAAGCACCCAGTCTCCCCCTCGGGCGCGCTCCCTACACTAGAAGGGTGTCGCAAATCTCTGTCAAGTGACTAAGGCGAGATCTTGCTGACGGTGTACATGATGAACAGTAGATATGAGAGAGGGATTGGCCTCAATCAGCCGTACTCGACTCTAGTGAACGCTGACGCGAGCAGAGTGATACGATAGCAGATGTGATGAGAGGTTGCCGATGCTCAGCGACAAAATACTCCCTTCCCAGTCATACTGTCAGTAGGGGCCTCGCCCCGCTGAGGGTGGTGGTCGCGGGGAGAACGAGCCAACGTCACTACGCAACATGAACGATCGTCCGGTATCATGATTTCGTGCGCCTCGAGTGTGAACGACTATCTTACACAGCACTCCAGAGGGTGAGATACCAACCGATCTTTCGCGTACTATGCATCAGAAGCCAGCTCAACCTGCAACACGACAGTTGAGTACAATGACCGATTGGCACTGGAGTAAACCTCACCTTCGAAATCGCGTCTTCTATTACCTCCTCGACTTTCTTCGCGAACCCAATCGCCTGCCCAAATATCTTCGTCGCACACGCAATGCACTCCGCGGCCGACACAACCACCGGCTCCAGCATCTCCGGGCTGCTCGCGAGCGATCCGTCTGGCCTCACCACCAGCTCACGCCCGAGCTTATCAAGATAGTCCAGCCACGACTGCCGCAGATAATACTCCGTCGGATGCACGCAGTAGTACACCGAGTTTTCCTTGCAGTCGTCGGAAGTGCTGCTGCATATGACGAGCATCTTGATCGTCTCCTCGTCCACCCACCCTGGCATGGGCTGCAATCCCCGCGAGCGCGCGACAGCCGTAGAGGCAGCCTGCCCGCACTTGTAGCGGTACTCGAGGAGGTTGTGGTATGCGCGCCCGGAGATTGACGTGAGCTCGGGGACGGACTCAAGCATCGCAGGGAGCTTGAGCATGCGCCGGGCCGCAACGCGTGCGACGGCTAGGAGGTCGTAGGCGCACGCGAGAGCGTACACGCTCAGGGGTTTCTTGTCGAGGTAGTCGGCGCGGAGAAGGACGTCCTGCATCCGCTGGCTCACGCCTCGTAGGGAATACTTCTTGCCGGCCGCGAGTAGGGAAGACAGTTGTGCGAAGTCGATGACGGGTTCCGGGGGATGAGTGCATATGTGCATGATGCGCTCCCAGACTGCTGTCGACTCGGCAACATCGAGGATCGGCTTGTCGCTCGTATCGGAGCTAGTCTGAGGGAGGTAAAAGAGGTCGGAAAAGAGAGGTGATGCGTCCGCAATACTCTTGCGGTCGACGTGAAATTCCGTGCCGTCCGCGGTGCGTATGATTAAGTCGCCACACGGACTATCGTGGTAGGGACCCGACGCGATAGCCTTGATAGTAGCTAATTCAGGCATGAGTGTTCACTAGCCAACGACGATAGGGAGAGGGAATGGTTCTGTATCTCTGGGGCCCGAAGCATAGTTCTTATATGCTCACCAGCGACCTTGACGCCCTGCTAATAGGATTATCGATTACTGGGCATTGGACCCGGGGCGACCACCATGCTGCTATATCGGCATAGCCCGACTCATTTCATCCGTACACGGGGGACGAGAGGAAGTATTAGACTGAATTGGGATGTGACTCACGCCTATGTAGAAACAGCCATGGCTTGTACTAGAAGAGACAAATGAATCACGTATTCCCGATACCCTGAGAATACTCACCTCCGTGATTATGCGATCCTGAGAGTGACATGTCATGCGAAAGACAAACCTGACTAGAATACGAATACTTGGTTGCTATACATGACAATTGCCCCTATCTAGGGTGCAATGGTGCTCACAGGCTCTTTGGGTTGGGATGCCAATTCCTGTCAATGTGACTCAACTATCGCATATGTATCCGAAGACGTGCGTGTCATGAGGGAAGCCACGAACGCTGGGGGGTAAGACGTAATTACAGTACCCTAAAGCAAGTTATTCAATCTCAAGTCCCAGATTCGCGTCCTAGGAAAGGCAGTGACTCACTGTTAGAGCTGCGATCGTTTCATTGGTTGTACACGTGAACACACTGTACATCATTAGCGAGTGAAGGCGATTCAAGTCTATGTTCTTCTGACGTTATGACTTTGAGCGGCCCAGCGGGCGACCGTAAGAAGTGCATGACGCACAGGATCCGATCGAGTTTGTGGATGAGAGCTATACGAACGGGCCTCATGGCGTACAGCCCGCTTGCCTCACGGACACACCTGACTCTCATTGGTGTCTTGGGCGGACATTCACTGATATACCTGTACAACATGCCGTTACCGGAAAAGGCACGCAGAGTGGATGTCTGGAAGGACCATGGTTGTTCGGGTACGGGGATGCGCAACGACATATCGTCAGCGAGTATGCACTCTGTTACAGACCGCAAGACATAGCATTGATCGCCATAGACTCTGCCCGTAGGACGAAGCTTCATTACTAGCGAGCATCCAACAGTTCCGCTACAATACGGAGGGACTCACCATGAGAGATCCAAGACAAGCGGACCCTCGCCCCATCTTTAAACCGCCGGGATCCATGTCAGCTACGTATGTATATCTTTCCCTCCGGACTTCGCTGCGTTGTTACTCATCCGTGCTTTGCAGACTGTCGTCAGAGGTGTAAGCAAGGTGATGGCATCGAGACGAGCTGCTTCGGGTGCAGCTAGCGCCCGCTGAGGCATATTCACCGACTCCGACGACGACCTTCTGCGTTCTCTCTCGGGCTCTCCCCTCGTCTTATCTCTTTATCCATCTCTGTCTTACTAGGCTGTATACTCGGACTCCGTGCTTGGGTCTACTCTCTGTGCTAGGGAATTATGTCGATCAACAAGATAGCTGCGGAGCGAAATCAGCGAGCTCTCATGGAGCTCGTCAGCCAGCCGGGGAATGGTCAGTTCGTTAATTGTGCACGAGTTCCCTTCGTAAGCGTACTCAACCCATCCAGACTTGTGCGCTGATTGCAAGAACCGGAACCCACGATGGGCATCATACAACCTCGGCATCTTCCTTTGGTGAGTTTCCGCGTGTCGATCCATGAATTATGTTGGGAGAAGGATCCTCAATATGCGTTGGCCTGTGATGGATCACAGTGTCGGCTGCGCGAGCATTCACCGCAAGATGGGTACACACATATCAAAGGTGTAGGTAGGGTCGCGCTTTGTGTGGGCTCTCGCAGTATAACATTCCGTCTACAGGAAGAGCTTGACCATGGATACTTGGACGAAGGAGCAAGTCGAGGTACGTATGCGTTCATCGTCTCCTGGGATGGGACCGTCGACGATTTGTATGCCAGTTCATGAGGTCTATGGGAAATTCCAAGTCTAATGCGCACTACAACCCCGACGAGACGAAGCATCCGCCACCTACGAACATGATTGAGTCGGAAAGGGACAGCGATCTGGAGAAGTATATTCGGTGTGAGTACAGTCCTACATCCTTGGTCTTTATCTTCGAGTGACCAACACCCGCGAAGCAAAGTACCAGTACAAGTCCTTCGTCACACGCTCCGCACAGGTTGCTGCGCTTCTGGGCCCCTCGAGGTCTGCATCCGATAGACTGTCTCCGGTGCCTCCGCGGTCAGCCACGATGCCGCCGTCAGCCTCATCGTCCTCGTCCGTATCGCGACCAGCACCCGCGCCTGCGTTCCCTACATCTTCGAGTTCGACCCCGTCCGCTGCTGTAGCTAACCAGTCGCAACCTCGCTCTGTATCCCAACCCATCGCTCCTCCGCATCCTGCACCTCAGCCTATTCAGATGCCACAACAGCTCCCTCCACAGTCGACCACATCACCGCCCCAGCAGTCGCACCAATTGAGCAACCCCGTATGGAATGACCTCGCACAGCTGCAAGCTCCCGCTACAAATTCGTCCCTTCCTCTACAGTTCGTATCCTCTCCGGCAACACAAGCTATCAACGTACCTCACCCTAGTAGCCTCTCCGTACCCAACCAATTCTCCGGTCTCTCTGTCAGCCCGAACAACCACTTCCCCTCCTCCTTGACTCAGCAGCCCACGGGTGCTTTCCCTGGGGGCACACCACGGAGCATGAGTCTCCACACCGGCTTGTCTAACATGTCGTTGAGCGGCATGAACTCAACCCTCGGGGTGCCGGGAACCTCTCCGTCCATGTTCCAGCCCCAGTCCACCATGGGCGGTGGACTCTCCGCTCCATCAACCTTCCTTTCACAGAACACGATTCCGTCTCCATTCGCCGCGCCATCTTCTCTTCCATCCACGAATCTCGGCATTTCCCAACCCTCCTTCGCACCCTCATCTTTCAGTCAGCCGAGTCAGCCCCTGTACACGCCTCAGCCGCAGGCGCATCCGCAAGCATCGCCGATGTTCCAACCCCAACCTCTGGCACAGATGCAAGGCTCGCCGATGTTCCAGTCATCGCCGCTCGGCCAGGCCCCGACTGGGAACCTAAACCCAAACCCGTATGGGCTGAGCCCCATGCAAGCCTCGCCACAGCCCGGCATCACGCCCTTCAGCTCGCCACAGCCCCAATTCGGAGGGTCGCCGTCTCCCGCCCCGTTCATGCAGCAACCTCAGTTTGCACAGTCGAACGCGGGACTGGGTATGGGCGGCTTGCCGGGAAACGCGTTCGGCGGAACGGGCTGGGGGCAACCTACAGGTTTCCCTGGGCAGCAGCCGCAATGGAGAGGCATGTGAGCGTGTAAAGGAGACGCAGACAATAATAGGGAAGTTCAAGCAAAGAGGGATGGAATTGCGGAAGTCGAGGAGATCCGATGCGGTTTGTTGATTTGTCTAGGATGTCTACCTCGCAATGCATTAATGCGGACAGTCACATGAGGACGCTTTCGTACGTTATGTGTGAATCTCGTAAAGCAGCTAGCAGTCGGAGGATGGGCCGCTGCCGTCCTGCTCACCCCATTCGCGATGTTCATCTTGAACAGCATAATGATAGTCCCTCTCAACATCGATCGTAACATGATATCTTTATATGTCGCGATGTCGTTGCCGGCGACGATTTATCGCCAAAGCGCGTGAGAACAGCAGGTGCAAGAGGCAACCCGTGAACTTAGGCGCACTGTGCCCGGCCTTCAAACTGAGCTATCGCGTCGCGTCTCGTCTGTCAGAACTAGCCGTCCACTGAGATTGAGGATGTCTTATTATGCGAATGGGTCTTCGTGCAAGTACAACTTTCAACCCCTCATCATCTCTTCTAATGATACTTCTGCTGCTGACCCCGGGTTCCTGCTCCAGCGTTCCCGATGCTCGACTATTCAGACGAAGACGATGTTGAAGGCTCGGAGATACCTCCCGACAAATGCCAGCTTTGCGATGGCAAGGATGATCTAGAGAAAGTCAGGCTTTGTTTGTCACACGGAGACTACTTCACGGCAGACAACGTGAGTGATCTGTTGTCATGTCTTGCTTCCGAGTGATTGCGCTGACAGACGTATCCGCCGTCGATCCGGACAAGCCATTGCCATGGCTCGAATCGCTCAAGCTCATACCAAAGACATTCGGTCGAAACCACCCCGGGAACCGCATGATGTGTCAGTCTCAAATAAATCAATGTGAGGCGTAGCGAAGCGGCGCTGATATTTCTGTCCAGTATGTAAGCCTCATGCAGATGCCTATAGAAAAGACGTGTGGCGTTGGTTTCCCAGCGCTGACGTCCGGTCCAGAATGAGGCACACTGAGGCAACGACCGTCTGGCGCTTAGCAAACGACCTGCAAGGAGCATCCCCCGGCCCAGATCCGAAAGCCATCGGCAACGCGACTGGCATTAGGGAGGATGGCACACTAGTGGATAGACTGGACTCAGTATGTGATCTCACAACTATTGAGCAGGTGAAGAACTGGACGGACATGCAGTCAGATCGCCCAAGCTTCGATGTTCTCATCTTCATGCCGCAGCACATGCCCCCCATCCCAAATGTTATCCTAGGTGGCGAGCGGACTGGCGTTCGCGTCATACAGCGTTTCAAACAGCTCGCGCTGAATCCTTACGTGGTCTTCGCTGTCGGGTTACGAATGCTCAATTCTGTGTATGTCCCGCTGCCAGACACGAATTTGAAGTCGATCGAGCAGGAATGCCTGGACATTCGCGCGGGTTGGAATGAGATGGGCTTAATGATCTCGTATAGCAATGAACCCCTGCCACATGCCTGATAATTGTACTGTACAGCGTCGCAGATAGCTTCATTACAGCCAAGATTGAATACAGACTATGTTTAACTCGTCGCGGTGTCGTTGCCACATCGCTTGCTCCTACAAACACATCATGTGAGATCTCCTGGAGTCACGATGTCAGTCGGCGTCACATATATATGAGCGGTCATCCCACCAGCTCTCGCGCGACGTTCAGAGTTCAAATCCTCTTCCGTCCTTGAGTACAAGCCACGCAGGAGAAGCAACACCTTCAAGTACTCCTCGGCAGGATTCTCTACGAGTGTCAAAGAGTCCCCGGGGCTGATCTCTGGAAAGTTGGCCACGACAAGCTCGACTGGAGCATAGGCACTTCCTATGACTTCCAAGGCTCGAACAAGGGCCGCGTAAGGGTTGAGACGCCATGCCTTCCCTGGAATATTGAACTGAAATTCCAGGCTGAGCTTTCCGTCATGCACGGCATGGAACCCCATTGACTCTTTTTCGATTGTATACTTGCTATTTTCCTTCTGGAGATAGATACGGGGAGGGAAGGTGCCACCTGTCCGGTGGCCCATACCTCTGCAGTCCCAGTAAATGTTGGATATGAAATTCCCGGTGGTATGGGTCATCGTGATCCATACAGACGCTAAGCGGCCAGTCAACATCTTCCAAACAGTTTGTTCATCTGTCAAACGAATAGCAATCGGAACAGGGATGGTAGGGGCTCACGTGCGGAGGCGGCACTGTCCTGTCTCGTATCTCCTTCCCTTCGACCCTCTCGCTCCAGTCTTTGCATTCCCACTCCTGAAGAAGCAAGAGGTCCCTCATGGGAGGGCACAAGATGAAAACCCCCCGATGCAAGTCCTTCATATGCGCGTCGCACACTGTTCAAGCTCAGCCCCAGTGAATTAGTTGATCAGTAGGGAGAAAGCACTCACAAGGAATGCAGTTCCTCTATGTCGATACATCCCCGGCAGTGCTCTCTTTCCTCTGTATCGCCTCATTCCCGACAGCTTGAAGGGTTATAGTCAGGTATGATCGCCCATGTCTCGTGTAGAGACTACAACGAGGTATGCAAACCTCTGGGATATCGGGCCAGAGAGGTATCAAACCTCCCAACCCACGCGGTCTTAGTGATACGCGTCGGTTAGAGTTTCGGTTAGGGTTTGGGTTTGGGTTTGGGTTCGGTTAGGGTTCGGGTTCGGGTTTGGGTTAGGCGCTATTCACACCTCCTCCTCCCCCAAAGGGGAGGCCGTCTGTATTTATCGCGCGAACGAGGCTTTAGAGTGCCCGCCTGAGTGCTCCCGGCTCGGGGGACCCCCCGAGCGCAGCGAGGGAGGGGAGGGAGCACGAATGGCGGGTCCTCTTCGCGCAAACCCTAAATCTGGCATCAAACGCCACAATGCTGATTGAGAACTTTGATCATCAAAACTAGCGCGCTGATGCGCCCGTGGTGACAGCGTCGGTGGTCTTTTGCGTCGCGCGTCCCCCACCCGCCACGCCTGCACAACACTCTTCACATGTTGGAAAAATGCTGCCTCGTCAACTACTGCGACCTCCTCAGAGGGAGTATGGTTTTTATTCGAGCTCCTTGAAGTTGCCTCGAGTATGTACACCGGTCCAGCTATCAAAATTTGATGCGCCCGTATTGATGTCCTAGGCTGACAGCCAATCATATGCGTGGTTGGGAGGTCTCATACCTCCCTGGCCCGATATCCCAGAGGTTTACATACCTCGTTGTAGGCTACTCGTCTCGTACGCATCAACCGTGTTATCTATTTCAAAGATGATCCAGATCGAGTGGCTCGTTCAAGCAAACCTCCCTTCGATCTCGGGGGTTGACTCGTCTGACACAAGTATATCCATACATCGCTCTCGTTTGTTCGTGTATCGCTGTGGCAGAGACCATGTAAATTATACGGATGCCGCCGGGAATGGTATGTATTCTGATCCACGAACTCACATTGATTCATATTATATGCCTATTCCAGATACTTATACACGTTTGAGCAGCCTGAGCGTTGAAGACCTGATGTAGGAGAGACGAATCACGCAACGGGAGAGTGATGATGCGAGCCCCACGTTTGACTCTGGTACCTGCGCCTCGTAGAGAGCTACTATAGCGCCTGCAACAAAAATTTCGCACAGTATGTTGTCCTATCGGAGTCGTTTTACTACTTAGGAAGGTTCAGCCGATGATCGATGATATGCACACCTCCTTTCCCACCGGATCATCGCCCTCATCCCTATGCAGAGCTTGGGATGATCCGCGTACCAAGACAATCTTCACTAGCGACAGCTTCAATATGGAGGTCAGGTCGGAAGGGGTCGCTGAGGGGTCAAGGTCGCCTTGCGCCATTTAGAGGATAGACAGGCCCGCCACCTCTTCTTGCTCTGCTACTTCACTGCGGAGTCTTTTATCTTCCGCGGTTACCTCTTTGAGACGATCATCCACCGTCATTTGTCTATGGCCTCGCGTTCGGAAATGCTGCTCAATCTTTCACTGATGGACGGGTCTGGCAGTTCACACGAGGCGACTTCTCCAGTGATGCACAGCTCGGTACTCCGGTGCGCCGCTGCCCATCACGCACATGCAATCAGAAGTGCATCTTTCACCGTGCAGAATAGAGTTTCAGCAGGCCGCAGGGCGTTGGGGCAGTGAACTGATGTGACGGATCTGGGCCACTCTGTGATACTGGGCGTTCGACGAGGCATTTGGCGGGGAGAATCCCTTGGAGCCAGCTCAGATATGGGCGCCCGTTACACTGTGGGTTGGCGCCACCTAGTGGATGCTGAGTCGCTGTTGAAACTCTCACTGCGTTCCCAGCACCCCCCAACAACCCAATCTTCGATGCATTCTTCTTTGAGCGCGAGGCAGCGTCAACCTTCTCCAAGTCATGACCGCTGTCGAGCACAAGGCCTCCAAAAAGCTAATATCGCGTCTCATCACCTCGTGACACTCACTCTGGACCCGTCTAAGTGCAGATCAGGCATTTGCTCGATCACCCCGCTGGTAGCCGGCAGCAGGTAACGTGGGGTTGGACGATGCCCAAGGGCTGGGATGCGGCGATGGACCCGCACAGACACGTCTACCATATTCCGATCCAGATGCGTTACTACTTCCGAGTAGATTCCGATGGAGGGTGTGTCTGGATGGCGGTTTTGGTGTCCCTGCTTCATCGCGCGAAGCTTCTCCATCGCACTGAGGTTGTAGTTTGGGAGCAGGTACCAGAGGCGAATTGCCCACGCATTCCAGGCGCGCTCAGAATGGTAGCCTTGCCGAAGCCATCCTCTAGGGCGTCGAACCCCGGTAATTCACTACCTTTTGTTCAGAATTCAGATACCGTAAGCAATGGAGGCCTCTTGCGAATAGGTTTTAAGTTGGTTTGGACCGCGTTTTGCACGTATCAAAACTCTGGGTCGCAGTCTGCAGAGAAGTTCTCAGAAATTGGCACACTGACCCTTACGGTCCAAGATTGGATCATGGAATAAGACATAAGAGACATAAAACATCTTACCCTCCATAAGGCGCGGGCCTCTATCGCTTTCGCATTTCCGATCTGTCAGATGAATCAAATGGAGAGGCGTGCTGATGGCTACTCAGAAGGCCTTGTGTGGCCGCCGTGGAGTCCGAGCGCGAAGAATGTGCGCAGCTGTGAAGAAGATATGATCTTCAGCATACGATCTCCGCAAGATTCAACAGACTTAGGCGGTCGTTCATCTCACTGAGAGGCTTGTATTGAACATCTTCACACGAGGCAAAGGGATCAAACCTGATGGTGTGTCAACTGGTACACCATCATTTCTATGTCGTATTGGGAACCTGGTCGTACGCCCAGATGGTGCAGGGATCTAATCATCAATCATTCCTCTTGCGCGAAGGCAACATCGCCCCAAATGCCACGGCCGCAATTGCTGTTCTGAGAGACTTGCAGACATCATAGCATGGTAGCAGAGTTTCAAATATTCCCTCCGTCGCTCACTCGTGTCACATCATTTCAGACACACATTACGCATTGGCTAAGGAGTCATCAATTGATACATGCATGAAGGGTCAAACACTTTTTCACAGAGAATATGAGGATGAACTGAGATTGCAAGGAATGTAGATATTGAGTTACTGTCTCGTACATTGCTACCTCCTGGCTGATTTACCTAGAGCAACCCAAATATTGCACTCCTGAGGTAAGTTTGTTCAATGGTATCTGTCTAAGGAAACAACATACTGCATCGGTGGTAGCGAAGCATGCTGTATCCAAGTATTGCATGTATGGTGGGGTCAGGCGCATCTCCTGGCCCACTGCGCCCAGACGTGCTTCAAGTTGAACCCAGCGCTCGGTGTGACATTCCCCAGGCTTACCTGACACTGAGAACCATACCTTGGACTACCGCGCTTCGACCGCAATCGTTCGTCAACTGAAGGTGATAAGACAGCTTGCCACAATGTGCTCTGCTTGGCGATTGGGACATTTAGTTTTCGTCAGAGGACGCCCTAGGTGTTGGAGTAAAGAACTATGACGTGTTATCAATTATGGCTTACTTGTACACCTTAGTAGCGACACATGTCTATTATGATACTGCGTTTCAACTGTGAGAAATTAGGGACCACAGTGTACAGATCACTTCATTCGTCGATCGAGGCATGAATTCCTGTTGTGAGGCTTCGAGTAACATATTGCTGCCTTGGCTACATGGGCTAGTCTTCATCGGACTTCATGCTGACCACCATACCGCGCGCCACAATGATTACTCACAAATAATAGAATGATGGTATTATTGAGGCGTGAGCTGTTCACTGTTTATGCAACCGCACAGGCAAACCAAAATCTCTGCACGTCAATTTTATTCTCACTCGTCTCTATGACATCAGAGCAGCCTTCATACCGGTGCACCCACCTCCCCAACCTACGCCTCAACTAGGATTGCAAGAATATAAAGAGACATGGGCTCAAGTAGCCTTTCCACTAAGAATCCCACTCGACACACAGCAAACGGCATAGACCTCCACAATTCTCGCAGCACTCAATCACACCTATCGTCCACACAACTAGCTATCACCCCACAATGTCTATCCCCAAGGAACACGTTGCCTCAGTGACAAGCTCCGTCCATCTTAGTGACAGTGAAAGAGAGGAAGTGAGAAAGAATTGGGGCCAGAAGTGCGCTTTGTGCAGACACGCAGAAGATACACAGTGCGCCCATATTGTTTCGAGAACCATGATCGAGAATTACTCTGTAAGTCATTCTATTCTTCAACTTTGCTTGAACTGACAATACTTGTACATCCAGCTTGTATGGCTGTTCTGTACAGGATTACTTGAACGAGGATTCAAGAAGACCGACCAAGAGAATTTTATACTGTGTGAGTTGCGTATTTCTGCAATTGTCCATCACACACATCTCTCATTTGCTTCATCTCGCCGTGCACCTGCTCACCTCCTTGTGTTAGTGTGTAAATCTTGCCACGCCCTATATGATAACGATGCACTTGCAATCTGTCCGCCTCTCTCGTGGCTCCAGAATGCCATACAGAAGGAATTAGATAGGCGGGGTCAGCCAGATGGGCATGCCAAGATCCGAACTCTACCTGAAAAAGAGGTACGTAGTAGTGTTGAATACTATCTCACATCCGTCAACTTTATGCCGCTAACTGTGCATAATTTTTAGGACGAGCCAGATCATGTAGTGATCTTCTTCACGAAATATTCGGGAAGCCCTAACCAGAAAAATGACCTTGCAATTGGGGGGGTCCTAAACCGCCTCAGTGTTCTCAGTGAGCATTATGAGGACGAATTCCCTCCAATTATCAGACAGGAGAGGATTCGTGTTCCGCAGGAGACATTAGTCACATGGAGAGAAACTGAAGATGGCCTGGTTGGAATCCTGGATCTTTCGAATATCGAGACCAAGCCACGCATGGCTGTGCTTGCTGCGAAGAGCGCATGCACAATTGGAGGTTTTTGGTCACCTTTCAAGGTCGAACTTCCTGGAGGAAAGCAGGTCCATATGGCATCATGGGTATATCGAAAGAAATTACTGGAGTTTCATGAAGTTTTCGCCTTCAACATCCCTCAATATCAATCTTTGGATTCCAAAGATGCCATGGCCCGCATGCTGGCTCAGGCGACAACTCTAATGGCCGAGGACAGCAACAACTCATACGACATCTCCACATTTGCCGATACATCCTTCAACGAGGACGACGAGAGCATCCCCGATATTGTGCCACTAGAGACTTCGATGGAAACCCAAATCCCATCGACTCCTATCGCCATACGAGACCAGGTGATTGACATCCTCGAAAACTTCAGCATCGAGGACATCACCTTCAATCAGCATGCGCCCGCGTTCATCAACGATGTTGATGACGACGAGGATGATGACGAGGATGACGGTCTCCCTTCCGGGACCATTTTACCTCCTGAATTGACGTCGGGTATCCAAGGCAGAGTATTCACGACTCTGGGGGATAGAGACTCAAATCCATCCGACAGGAACGCGGGCGGTGTACCTTCCGGGGAAGGGACGTTCCCAGGTGGCTCCCGCGGGAACCAAGGGCAGACCGCTCTTCCGCTCAGGCGTTCCACGCGCACCAGGAAGCGCCAGACATAGTGCGCCCAATGGTCTGCATGGCGGGTTGCAGGGTTCTCTAAGCACCATAGGTCCAGATCGAATCTTGTAATTGTGGAAGGAAGTAATGTGATTTAAAGAAAGCAGTACAGTGACCATGATAAACCGCACACAGTTATGCGTGCTGCATGCTCCAGCATCGCTCAAAATGGCTCAACGGGGCCCGACATTGGTTCGGAGCGTAAGTGGGAAGTTTATGAGCCCTCGTCCACTAGGGCCAATAAGTACCAGGTACCTTGAGGAGAACGGAAAAGTATTGACATGACTGGGTTCAAATTCTCGTTGATGAGGCCTACGCATTGTACCCACTTCATGTCTCCCTTTACTCCAGCAAGCCCTGCTCGTCTCCATTGTCCCCACCCATGATCCTCTCCGTTTTCTTCTCACACCTCACCACACGCCTCACCCTCTCCAATACTTCCCTCCGCCTCTCTTCGCCCGCGTCGACTACATCCCCCAGCATTATTGCTGCGTCTTCCACGTCCTTCCTGCGTATCCTCGGCCCCCATATACTATACCGGTACGTATCCACCAGCCGCACCGTCTCCAACCTCGCGCCTGCATACGGTCTCGCGACCATCGCCGCGACCGCGCTCGGGGGGAGCAGTGTCGACTGTCCGATGTAAAGCGTCCTGAGGCTCTGTAGGGGCGGGAGGAGGGGTGCCTCGGCGAAGGGGGTATTTCGGCCGAGCTGGTCGGACGGGAAGGACATATTGGTGAGCGTGATATGCTCGATGGCGGTCCAGGTGCTGATAGCGCGCGCGAGATGGAAGGTTGCGGACGGCACAATCTGCGCCCGTGTGAGGGAAGATTGAAGCGTGGGATGGTCGCGCGAACCTGTTCTGTACCGTTATAGCGAAGGCTGGAGGAACGTGCACTTACTGCGGTCGAGAAGTGGTGCTCTGGGTCAGGACCCCTCCAGATGAACGTCTTCGGGCTGCGCGCATAAATGCCGAAAGATCAGAATCACGGAGGCGTAAAAACACAGAAGTAGTATGAGCACAGGGCCATGCGCGCAGCGAAGGTGATGAGCTCACTTTGCGAGAGCAAGTGCTTCGTAGATGTAGCTTAAGTGCGGGTTGCCGCTGTGCGAGTGTAGGCGCAACGATAACAGTTCTAACGATACCTTGCCATCGTTACCCATGCGTTCCTCCGATTCCGACTCAATCCCGCCCTCTTCTGTCCTTGATGCTGATGTCGACAGACATCGTCGCAGCGCGGCGGCCAAGTACTTGAAGACCTCGAAGTCAGCCGAGCCACCCGCGAGCGCAACAGTAAGGGTTCTAGGAGTGCAGACAAGCGGTGAGGTTCCCTCGGAGAAGAGTATTAGTTGAGTGATTGAGCGAAAGTCGAGGTCGGCATATAGGAGGGGCTGGCCAAGCTCATAGAACAACTTGTTGACGCATAAAAGCTCGCCTGGACGAGGATGGTCGCAGAGCGCGTGTGCAAGGATCTCCCGCAGGAGTTCAACTGGTATGGTCGCGAACGTCATCAGAATGAAGGAGAAAGGGCGGGGAAGGCAGGAACATCCACCCGCTACTCCCGCGATACGCTCGATATCTGGGGTGAGTGTGGCGCCTAAATCGGGACGTCATATCCGGACACTCCGCATGGCTGGGTCCGAATGCTAGTGGGTTCCGACATAGTGGACAAGGATAGCAGAACGCAATCGCAATCCGTACCGGTCGTATGATACACAAGAGGCACTACGAGACAATGCCCGAGCATGCATCTAAATCAATCACTATCAAGCTCGATCTGGCAGGAATGGGGCGAATCCGAGATGAGCACGCATTCCGGTTTGAACGGAATCTCAACTGAACACGTACTGTCTCAGCCACCTTTCGCTTGGCCCTCGTAGCAGCAGCGCGAGCGGACATTCGACCGGCGGGTGCGAAGTTGAGAGTCGCCTGCGTCTGCTTACTACCTGAGGCAGCTGCTTTCGTACCAGTAGCCTTCCTAGCCGGGGCTTTCTTCGTCAATTGACTGGAATGCGATTACTAATATGAGCTGGACATCCGATAAATGGGTGCCAACAAAAGGCGCATGCCACGCACCTGAGAACAGCAGCCCGGTTCGTCCGCTTGGGAGGCACGATTTCATCTTCTATCTCGTCCTCGTCTTCGTCGTCCGATGGAGGAGCTGCTGCCTTCTTGCCTCGCGCAGGCGCTTTCTTTGCGGGCGCAGCGGCTTTCTTGGGGGCTGCCCTGCCCTTGGCTTTCGGTGGAGGCGGCGCATCCGACATCTGCCTATCAAAGTCGGAGCCGCCCTGGTCGACGTCCATCATCATGGAGTCTACGGACGCGTCAGACTCCTCTGCTGCCTTCGCCTTACCCTGGAATAGCACGCCAGCAATGATAAACCAAGGATACTCAAGAGATATGGGTAAGTCGCACCTTGCCCTTTGCCGGCTCTTCGGTTCGCTTCTGGAGATATCGCTGCTCGTGCTGCTCGCGCACTTGCTCCACCAGCTCGTCGATGTTATCGGCGTCGACCTCGCCCTCGCTAGCTTGCACGCCCTTCATCAATGACCTGAGCGCGCTGTGAACATGCCTGCATCCAACACAATCGTCAGCAATTCCAGGGCGCTTTGTCTCGAGCAAGATCGGGGCGAACACGCACGTCTGGATCGCATGCGAATCATCCTTATCCACAAACAACTCAATCGCGTCCGACATGCCCGCCTCGCCTAGCAGCTGCAGCTCCTGCGCCGCCAGATACTCTTTCACCAGCGTCTGCACCCGCACCTTGCTCAGCTTCTCGCCCACAGTCAGGTCCGGGTCGTCGATGCTCAGCTCCGGTACGTCCGCCTTGATCTTTCCCTTGCCCTTCGCGCCCTTGCTCTTCGAGCGGTGGAACGTGAGCACGTCGCGCGGGTTCGCAATGCGCCCGATAAAGTCTTGCCCGAACCGCACGGGGTTGGACATCTCTGAGACGCCAGTGGTCTCGACTTTGAGGCGGATGAGCGGGAGGGGGCGCGGAAGCTCGGGCTCGCCTTCCTCGAGGGCGCGCGCGTTGCGTTCGTCCCATTGTTCGTTGGCTTTGTTGATGAGCTCGTTGACCTGCGATAGTAGTCGTAAGAGTGCGGGTCAACTGTGCTGGTATATGACGTACCCTGTTCTTCAAGTACTTGCTTATTTCGATCTTGTCGGTGAGGTCAAAGCCAAGCTCCTCTGCTGCCTCACTCAAATCGACCTCGTCGATGACAAAGGGACGCACGCTCCGTAGAGGTATTGGTGTGAGCTCGAACTCCTTGCCCTGTATCTTCAGCAGCGCGACGTGCCTACAGGTGCTAATTAGTTCATGTATGCGCGGCTGAAGCGCATATACCCACTTCTCGATCGCTTCCCCGTCCGCGAGAGACGTTGCGACAGAGGAACCTGGCTGGGTGACATAGTAGCGTTTTCCAGCAACAGGCTCAGGAATGATTCGGCAGTCGTGCTCGTGGCCCCAGACGACCAAATCTATGCTGTCATCAAACATCCCCTCCGGGACCGACTGCTGCGGTCCGTGGGCTACCCTACACCCTCGGGTCAGCAACCTCACGTCAATTTATGCACATGTGCGACACTCACCGGTTTTGGTGCAAGAGCAGAATGTTGAACCAACTGTCCTTGTCCTTCGGCATGTACATCCGCACGCGATTGCTCCGAAGCTCAAAGTGCATACGCTGATCCTTCACGTTCCCTACACCGTAGAGTCCAAGACGAGTGTTGCCCTTCCGTAGAAGAACGGGCCGAATGGCGATACCGGTGTCCTGCGCTTCGGCGTCGTTCATTGGCAGGTCGATTTTGCCCATGTAGTTGATGAGACCAGTGACAGAGAGCATGTCCAGTGCGCAGAGAGCACCTTCCTATATCGTATGCGTGAACTGTGGGGCATACAGAGAGCATGTGCTATGCACTCACTGGTCCGGCACCTTGCGGATCATCGTGGTTCCCATGAATGGAGAACACAGGTATGGCCACGTTTAAGTTGGGGTCTTCGTAGTTGATTGCTGGAAAACTATGGATGTCACTATTCGAACATAAACCTTGAGCATCAAGTCCGTTAATGACACTCACGAATAGCTCGCTGGCTTCCCGTCGTTCGGGTCACTCAGCAGCTCGACCTGGATTGGTCTGTCTCCAAGTGTGTACTCCCGTAACAACGCCATGACTTGGTATAGGCAGTCCCTTGACGGTCGGTTTTCATGGAATAGATCTCCGGCCAGAAGGATGAAGTCCACCTAGATGCCACTCGGGTCAACGCATTGTTCACGCAATTACATCTCGTTCACCCACATCATGCTTCACCGCAAGCTGCAGAATCTCCTTGAACGCCTCTATGGAATCCTGCCCACGTATAGGATCTCGTTCCAGATAGCCTATATGATTGTCCGTGGCCAGCATGATCTTTATGGTGTCGTCCGCGTCTGCTCATCCAGGTGAAAGGCAAACCCAGATGCCGTCCGTCGGTCAGTTTGAATGTGCCTGTGCCTCTCGCAATTTGCGTCCTTCAGCCACAGACGGTGTACTCACAAGCATTGCGGATCGTCGGAGGGGGCATCCCCTCGTACTCGTCATCTGAGGGAACGCTCATTGATGTTATGTGTGGTGTGTAATGTGGGAGGTATAATGACAATGGGTAGCGGATGGCGGTCAGAGTCCAGGAGGCGGGAGCACGACGCGCGACGCGACGTGCGCCTAGGGCCGCTCAATTCTTGAGGACGCAGGACGCAGGACGCACTCAGAGCACAACTGATGGATGTGATGGGCTAGCCGAACCTGCCGCATATGGCAAGGTACCAACCTCATCTCTTGTGCTCGTTGTTTTCCAAGGGGTCTGTCGTGTCCCAAACCTAACAGAAAAATATGAATCGCGAGTATGTTGGAGACGAAGGCTTTCCGCGTCGATTGACATTACCCTTGAGGCACTTTGTGAGGGGGGATGAGTGTTATCGTCGCTCGAGGGGTTTCGAAGGCGAGCTCGTCGGCTAGTCTCGCTTAGCCCATCACCTCCATCAATGGCCTCTGACCGCGTCCTGCGTCCTGCGTCCTCAAGATTGAG